ATTATTGATGTTGCCTAGGATGATAAGATTATTATGATTTATAAATGAGAATATGTTTTATAAGCTACAATTAACTGTCTGGTTGAGAAAGCATATATGTTAATGTAATTACAGTCATTTACAACTTCGCACTGTCAAATTCTAAAAAGTCTTCATTTACCCACATGATCTTTAATGTTCTGACTTGCTCTCAAGCTTTCTAATGATTGTGTTAGTGGCCAATTTTAATTCATTCAGGCATCTAAGTAAATGAATTCTTAATTCTTTTCTTAAAGATATTGTCACTTTGTCCTATACACTTTGGGTTTTTAAGAATTGGGGTCTTGTAATTTTTCAAAATATTCATGATGGTCCTAGTACTTTGTCAATCTTTACTCCAAATGGGAATTTTCAATCATAGATGATATATATTTGTTCCACCTTTTACTGTTTTCGTTTCATTAGGAAGATAAAGGATTAGCCCATTGCCTAGCTAAGGATGAATCACCTAGGTCTCTCTGTTACAATGAGACTAATTTTATTTTATTCAAAAGATTGAAAAGAAGGTACAAATTGAAAACTAGACTTATGCACAAATGAGAGGTAAAAGCGATATTCTCTTTTACACTCTCTTTTTATTGTTCTGTTTATATAATTAATCCACGTGATAGATCTTTGTGTTACTAGTCTCTACATGATAAGTTAAAGTTTTGTTCATTAATGCCATGTTGTACTATAGTTATGGTTGTAGTTTTTTTTTAATTATTATTTTAAAAACATATAAAATATTAATTAAAATTAATAAATTATATAAAAATTAATTAAAATAGTTACAAATTAAAATTTTATATTTTTAAATAAAATATTATGTAAACAAATTCTATATAAAGTATTGTGAAATAAAGTCTAAATTATTTACAAATTAAAATTGTTTACGTGTAAAAGAAATACATGCCACGATGAATAATAATAGAAGATTATTGAAGGGAAAGCGAAAAAAGAGTCACTAGCACTTCTATCAATGAATATAGTTAGGCAAAAAAATGGGGAGTTCATACTAAATAGCCATTAACCATCATCCAATGTAACCAAGGATGGAGGATCTCAAGAGCCAGAGGACCACGGCCCCATAGCCTTTTGAAAAAGAAATTAATATACGTATTTGAAATTTTTGGCAAATATATTAATAAATAAGTATTTAAATCTAAGAAAAAAATAAATATTGGGTCTAAAATTTTAGTTGACAACTTAAATCCAATCTCAAAGAATTTATTTAAAATAAAAGAAAATAGGTCTATAAAGTGCTTTTGTTTTTGTAGTGATTATTCTTAAAAAAATTTTGGCATAAAACAAGAACGCTAATATGCACACACTGTGAACCAACACCCATTTCCACACATATGGTCGATTTAAATAGTAAAATTAGATAGTCTTCCTAATAGCCTTATTCCCCACTTATCCAATAGAAATCGCCCCTTGGAATGTTGACCATCTTCTTGTAGTAACCATCATCACAGCCTCTACCTCCATCAGTTGTCATCACCAAAGCAAATCCGTGGCCGCCACCATCACCTCCAATCTCCATCTCCACCTCCACTTCAACAACCATCACCTTGTTATAACTATAGCCACAGACGGTGTGCAATTTTGTTGTGGGTGGGTTCCTTCTTTCATTTCTCTTTTTCTCAACTATGAGACCATCTGTGCATAGCTCCGTCCTGTTCAAACAAACTTCTCCATCTCGTAGCAACTACAGATCATGTTCTCCATTTCACAATAGCCAAACAGATCTAAGATCCTCCATTCTTCTATCAAGCATTGGTCTCATCTACCACAGGTATTCTCTTAAACATAGAGATTTTTGGGAAGGGTAGTGAGGGAGACGAATGGAGCTTGGTCACGTGGGTGGGCTCCCTCATTCTGATCCTCAACTATCTTTTCCAAAAACTTCCGCCTTGTTTGGTTTAAATTCTTTAGATTTTGATTCAATGAAACAGTATTAGATGATGATATTGTAAATAAAAATCAAGAATCTCATGTTGATTAATTGTTGTATTAATTAATTTTTTTAAGTGATTTGTTTTTCCTTTTGTCTAGGTTGATGAACGGTTGAGCAGGAACTCTTAATTTCCTTTTGTTTTTGTCCACATTTGTTTTAATAGTAGATTTTAAACCTACAATTTCATCTTGGTTCTTTGATTTTCAACCTTCTTTTCCCTCCTCCTCCTTTCTTTTTCTTCTTCTTTCCCTCTCATCCCCTCTTTTTCCTTCTCCCAAATCTAGGTTCTCCGAGAGAACCCCGTGGATCCTCTCAAAGAACCCAGATCTAGGTTCTCCATAAAAACCCACAAGTTCTCTTGGAGAAGGATGATGGAGGAGAGAGAGAGAGAGAAAAAAAAAATAAGAGGAAGAAAGATAGAGGAAGAAAATAATGGATGAAGAGAATGAGGATGCAGGTGAGGAGCGTTCTTTGATTTTCAACCTTGTTTTCCCTCCTCCTCCTTTCTTTTTCTTCTTCCCCATGGGTTTCTTTTTCAAGAGAACCCAGATCTAGGTTCTCTTGAAGAACCCAGATCTAGGTTCTCTTGAAGAACCCCGTGGGTTCTCCATAAGAACCCATAGGTTCTGTTGGAGGATGATGGAGGAGAGAGAAAAAAAAAAAAAAAAGAGGAACAAGTTAATGGATGAAGAGGATGACGATGGAGGTGAGGAGGAAGATGGATCTAGCTGGTGAGGATGAAAAATAGCAAGGAGGAGAAAGGGAAGATGGTAACGGAGTTAAGGTGTAATTAACGAAAAGTAAATTAGAGTTGTTAAGGTTTAGGGATGGTATCTGTTTGGATGCATAAATAGCCTCTGTTTAGATGCACAAATAAGCCAAAGTCCTTGGATGACTGCAGTCTACAGGCTATAAGAAAATGTTATTTAATAGGGTAAATTGTTATTTTATGAGGTGTGCACCCGTCGGATGTCGAACCAACGGATACACAAATCATTTCCCATAAAACAATCATTACAATTTTTTGATATTTTATATTAATTTTTTATGCAACTCCTAACTTCAATAAAAGAGAAACACAAAGATTTAGGCCTAATGGACTCTAATTATAGGAGAAATTTTACAATTTATAACTTATTTTATACTTAATAAAATAAAATAATTCCATTTAATAAAACTTAAAATCATAAATTAAAAAGAAATTGAAACTACTGAAAGAACTTTGCATCCCTAGGTTACTCTCTCGCTGCCGCGGTTAGGGCTTTCCTTCATTGACGGGCGGGCACCTTGCCTACTCCTCCCTAGTTTTGAAGGGTCCTCCCTACTTGTTTCATCTCTACTGCTGCCTTATGTTCAATCTGTCTTGCACTGTTTTCCTCTATTTTTTCTATTTTTCCTTTTGTGGTGGTTGTGGTACTGCAAACTACAATAGGATAGGGCTTGATGTAGATGTAGGCCAGGATGATTGGGTTTATGGATGCCGGGATATTTGAGTTTAGGACCAAGGGATGTTGATGGAGGGCAATGAGTTGCCGCTGGAAGGCTATCAAGGGCCACTAGAGAGCTGTTGTTTGTTAATGGAGGGCTACAAACTACTTGAAGAGTTTGTACCATTGGCTGTGCAAGAATTTGAGATCACAGTTGCATGGTGGCAGGACGACTAACAAACTCAAACATGGGCTACCAAAGTACTTGCTAAGGTAGTAGCAAGGCCTGGATTGTGAAGAAGTTAGGGTTGGCGCTAGGTGGCCGGTATTTGAAGATAAAGATTTGGTTTTCGATAATGATGGAGAATCTAATTATTCTCAATTTAACTTGATTAATTGTGCATGATTTAGAAGGTGAGGTACCCTTTGCCCCCTAGAATATAATTGCTTTTTGGATATAGTTGGGCTATTAATAAGTGGAAACTGTTATTAATTTAATTACTTGCTCTTTTAAGAAATTAACTTAGTAGTTATAAATGTTTAAAAGCTTAGAATGTTCATAGCAATTTTCTTTCTACGTTTATAGCCTTACTATGCCCAAAGAATGATTACTAAGTCAATCTCTAAATCCAGATGATCAATTTTACTTAATTTCTTAGATTTTTCATGAGTATAATTTAAAATTTTATTTAACTTGATCATTAAGGGCACATTTTTACTATAAATTTATATAGAAAATATAAAAATAAATATTAATTTTAGAGTCAATAGTATATGGATAAATTTGATTAGATGATTAATAAATTAAATATTATTTTTTATTTTTTTCAAGACTTTTAAAAGAACAAATTAAAAAAACCCATAATTTAAATATGTAAGTAGTGGTATAAATTATACTTTTGTTTCTAGCTATGCTATAGTACCATGCTTTAAAGATTTTAAGGTAGTCTCGTTTTCTATTTTCAATAATAATATCTAATTTTCATTATAAAAAAGGATATTGAAACTATGTAAAATGCACATATAATGCACAAATAATGAACGTTGATGCATAAACTTATAATCTAATTAGAAATTTCAAAAAAAAAATAATTAGTTGACGAATTAATTGTTTGCTATATTTTAAGTTTCTGCTACACATTTATTTTCAATTGTTTTTATAAAATACAAATAGGTATAATGTTTTAATTATTGATATCTCTACAACATAATTAATAGTCTTTACCATAATTCATATCGTAGTTCCCTACCTGGTAAGTTTTTATATTAAATTATTTTTTATATTATATATATCATAATTTGTATTATATTTATGAAATAAAATTTTGACCCCACTTCAATCTTGTTCAGGCTTCAGTCTCTGAATGTAACTTGTCAACTTTCCTTTTCTTTGTCTCCATTGATTGAAGTAACTTGGCGATTTTCGAGTTCTTCCATTTCCCACTTATCTAAGAAGAAATGAAGCAGATAACGAGAGATTCTGTGGTGCAAACCAGGCTTGAAGGCACCTTCGACTCTGGGATTATGTGTTTCAATAAATGGGGGGATAGAGTGTGATGGTGAATGGTGATATGACCTCCTTGACAATTAGGCTTCAGCCCATGTATCCTTGGGTTACAACAAGGGGTCCCCTCTTGATTCTGGGATCTTCCCTTCCCTGTTCTCCTAATTCGCTGGCTGTCCCTCCATCACAGTCAAAAGGGCATAATCACATCATCTATGGATACATGAGCTGGAAGCTATTTTTGATTCACATAAAAAAATTACACAATTTTATTATTTTACTTCAGCTCGACCCATGATAATTAGGACTTTGTATTTCTAAATTAGAAATATTAGGTTTTGTCCCAACAAAATATTTATGTAAATTATTAATTAAAAAAATATATCAGTTCAAATTAAAAATGACCACAATATCTTTGATTAGAGTTGATATGGGGACAAAAAATCTCGCCTCTATATTTGTATAATTGAAATGACATTACAAGAAACTAATTAGAGTAAACTAGATATTAGAAACAATAAAGGACAGCTAAAAGGAGTGGCAAAGGAAGAAAATGCAGAGCATCCCTAATGTCAACACAACTTTTAATGTCTAATTCAACCATACTTTCTTGTGAAGAGACAAATGGGCCCTTGATGAGAAATTACATTAAAAACTTAACAAGAAATGAGCCTTTATAACATTATTATTAATTCAATTCGACTCTCACCCCCAAACTATTGCCATTATATGTGCAAATTGGGGCCAGCACATAGCCAGCCATAAAAGGGCTTAACCAAACACAAACCCTGCTGTAGCATGTGTTTACCTATTCCAGTGCCAGAGATATCTCAACACACAGAATGCAGCTGCAAAACATAAATACTATATACTGTTACTGGTCCATAGCCTTTAGGCAGTGTCATGATGAACACAAACCATAACTGTTGGATGGGTGTTAAGTCCTAGACCAAACAATATTTATTGTAGCCGGACCCTAAATCAGCTGTACTGGTTTTTGCAGAAAGAGAAGACGAGCTTAGTCAGCAGGAGAATGTAGCACATGTAGGTTAAGCACAAATTGTTTTATGAGGGATGAATGTAATTCAAAAGAAGTTACCATTCCCATACTGCTTTTAGCTAAGCACAAAGGAGGTAGCTTTTAGTATTGCAAATTGAATCGCTAACAACAGAGTAAACTGTAAATAGTAGATTCATTCAGAACTTGAAATCCATAGCAGAAAATAGCATCATATAATTCATGAGCAATGTGGTAAATGCATTCTCTTTAGACTTGTCTTTTTACAGTGTATGTGACTCAAATTCTAAGTTAATGACCATTGAAAAGATATTTTACCAACAAACTCTGATAGCTAATTCTCGGCACAAATGAACTTATAGTAACAATGGTACACTATAAATGCTGTCTTTTACCAGTCTCTGTATTTTTGTGTGGGAAAACACAATTTTCCAACAATAAAAGGAGGATCATGGGCTGGATTAAATTTGACATGCATTCTATTTTCTTTTCAGCTCTTCATCATCAATAGCAGGAAAAGGGCATCAAGTTAGAATGAGGGGAAGAACTTATTCAGGTTGAAAGGCAATGAATAGAACTCTTCACTTCGGATTTCTGAGTCAAAATACCTAAACTTTTCCCACCAATGCCTGCCGCTGTCATGTCGGATTGAGCTGTGTCCATAACTATGTGTGCAGTCTAAGAAGAAAGCAACAATAATTGCAACTGTCGCGGGAGATGAGAAAATGACTTGTATTATGTTGTTGAACTGCCAACAACAGGAGACAGGGCAAGATAAGCATAATTTTATTAGTAAATGTAAATGAATAATGATAAGGATAGGGGCAAGCTGAATTTCATATACACTCACCCATGACGCATGAGTGTGGACAGGGCCATAACCAGAAATTAGAAGATATTCATTGAAATACTGCGGCACAGAAATACCCATGAAGATGGAAAAACCTAGAATAAACTTTGACCTGAAGCTGTTCAGATTGCAAAATTGGAGGAAACCAAGCCCAGCTGAAGCTGCTCGCACACAAATAAAAATGGAATCAAAAGTCACTTATGATATCATCAATTAAAGAGAACAGGGGTATTAGAAATACAACAAATTCAAGATAATCTAGGCAACATTTGGTGAATGTTACAAGTAAATTATAAAAGAAGCTGATAATGCTGTGAACCAAAACAAAACATGAAGATGCTCTATACGTTGCAGATTGGCATATCCATGGTAATTTCATACTGAACTACATACACTCATCCAAATAGATGTTCTATAGTTCTAACAGATTAAGTTTTGAGAGAGAGAAAAACTACGTTTCAAAAATATTAGTCTTCACGGCAAAGCTTATTATTTTCTTGTTGCATTACCACCATAGACCCTATAACATAAGGCTTACTTCCTATAATTAACACCTAGATATAAGGTTAAGAATACATACCAACATAGGCAAAAAGAACACAGTACAAAGCTGCCATGATTGGCAATGGTATGGATGCTAGAAGAGCCCCGAATTTTCCTGTTAATGACATGGATTATGGCACGATTGGATCAGTCACTAAGAAAGGAAACAGCCATAAGGCCAGTAAGTTAGGAACCATGAGTAATTTTTGAAATAAAATGTATAAAATGCTTAATAGTTAATAGCCATCTGAGCTCTTATTTGCACTCTTAAAACAGAAAAGAGATAGACAAAACAGACGCCCAAGTCTTTGGTTAGCTATTAGGTCAGCCAAGGAAATATGGATTACACAGACCCAAAAAGAGGAAAATGAAAATAAAGATTTTGAGGTAAACATACTGAAAGAAGCTCTTACTCTATGGCAGGAATACCATACCTAGAACTGAGAAGAAAAGCATAAATCCAGCTGATATTTGAATCACTCTCCGACTTCCAACTCTTGTTAATCCCAAAAGACCTGCATTTTCACTGTATATATAACATAGAGGAATTAGATAACAATACTAGCTAATGGGAAAGCTAGGAATTGAGTTAACAAAGAGAAAAAAGAATGCCCAAACACTGGCAATAACAAAAAGATCTAAAGCAGATCTACTAAAAAATCAATCTGAATATTGGAAGGCCAAGTATATATTTACATTTGAGTGACCTTTAATTTTAAAATGACTACAAATTATAAAAACATTCAAACGCATCAGAGTTAGTCAGTTGAATATGTAGAAGGCAATGTTATGTAGGGAAGTCAAAGCAGTAGATGTCCTGAATGACATATCTCTAACGAATGCTTCAAAAGATTCTCATAAGTTCATGTCAATTACACAGATGCAGTGGAGCCACTTGCTGTGCCAAACAAGCCATCTAGCAAAATCCCTATTCCCTGAATTCAAAATAAAAGAAGCAATCAAGATTAGACATCCAGAAAATATAAGTCCTATATGTCCTGAAGAAATACATAATAACATAATATGCATATACAAGGAATAGGATTTCTTGTCTTACCAGCCAGCCAATACCACGGCTAAGAATAGAAGGTGGTATATGAGTGGCGCTGCCAAATCTTGTAGCTGCGATATATGTACCTGTAGACTGCCAAAGAAGAGAAGTAATCAACAGAAGATTTATCTCAAAAAGAAAGATCCTAGATTCTTGTGATACAAGTTCCAGATAATTAGAATGTGTGTCGAGGTTGTAGAGGCAAACCATGAGCAGAAGATTTTAAATGTTCAAAGATGAAAGACATCATAAAGGTATCTTGACAAGATCAACATTTTTCAAACACCTTAAGTGGTAATTTAGCCTAGGCCTCTACACATGCAACCTTGAAGTTTTTAAAATTTCAGATTATCTTAAAGAATGAAATCTTCATTTTTAGCAACAATAAGCAAAACACCATCTTGGTGATGCATATACACACATCAAAGAAATCTTTTCATAAATCATACCTCAATGATGGCAACGAAAGCAGCAGCCATCATTGCAAACGCATCACCAGCTTCAAAATACGGAGTCCCCCATTGAAATGGATATGGAACCTTTATCCTGCACATGGCGGAGCATAAATATTATCAGAAATCTAACTGATTCACTAGCGCACATAAAAGTATAAATTCATAAAATAGGAAATTTCCCCTCATCAACATCTAAACCTGCTAAACTAAAAAACTAACATTAAAGCTATGTGTTATATTAAGATAGTTAAATGCTCTTTCACTAAACTTACATTTATATCTTAGATATTTGGATTTGATAATAAAATGGAACAAATAAATTAAGTTGAACTAAATTGTCAGTAACTTTCATAGGTATTGTTAACAAGATAAACAAGGGAAACATGCTCTATTCATGGTCTTGATCTTAGAGACAATGAAAGACGTGAAAGGCTAGGGCCTAGGGTCCACTTTGAAGGTACCTGGCTGACAAAAGCAACATGGACACCAGGTAAGGTTATTCAATTGTCAGTCATATGGTATATCACATGCTTGCATGCAGTTACCTCGTTAAAAAACAATTGGTTACCGAGAAACATCACATGGCTAATAATCTATGAAAACATTGAAACTTCCTAGAGCTCAATCTACTCTTGAGAACATGAATAAATTGCATATTTGGGTACTTCTAGAGCTCAATCTACCCTTGAAAACATGAAATTTACATAATACTCCGTAAACCTCTCCTATATTCAAGTTCTCAGTATTGAATATGATGTATCTACATTGATATTTCATTTGAAGTACCAATCCTGTGCTCCGAGTACTGTAAATTATCAGTTGTGCATTGACAAGGACAAATCATAAAATAGAAATATCTAAAGAACATATTAACATAATGAAGACATTAAAGGAATGGTTTTTCTAAGGGCACAAGTTAAGGGTGTACTAATTACACTTTTTTACAATTAATTTGTATAGAAAAAATAAAAGTTAACTTTAAATTTATCAACTATCCAATTAAAATCATCCATGTGGCACTGATGTTGAAAATAATGTTTGCTTTTACATTTTCCTATAAAAACTTATTGCAAAAAGGTGTAATTAATGCACCTTAACCTATGCCTTAAAGGCACAAGTTAGAAGAATCCTTAAAAGAAATTTAGACATGAGCGTATAGGTGCAAAGAACATATCAAACTGATAAAAATCACAGCTGGTGTTTATGAGCTCACCAAGGTGCAGCACTAAGGAGCCCAGAGCGATCAGTACGACAACTCAACTGAGTTTTTGGTGATCTATGATCATATGCACCAGCTGCAGTCAAAATTTCCGCATAAACCCATACAATTGCAACTGAGAAAAGGACTGCAAACCGTTCAAATATGCCAAACTTGGATTTCAACATATGGGGGACATACTGCAATGTCACAAATTTCATTGTCGTCAACAACGCATCTATATAACCTTAAAAAGAAAAAGTGTTGACTACCATACGTTAAGTGGCATTATCCACATCATTTAAGTTTGGGGTTTATTGTGGGCTAATAAGTTGAGCCTCCTGCCTGTACCCAGTTGGGTTAAAGTTGGATCTTTTATCAGCATGTAAAAAGAAGTCAGTCATGAATTGCATTATCATTCGTGTAAACCATTTATCCTTTTCTCTTTTTAGGCCTGGGAAAAACACTACACCCTACTAAATTGTATTACATGTTAAGCACCAAACCATAGGCTAGGAATTGGAACCTAGCCAATAAGACTGTAATATGTTCCATTTATCTCAATAACTATAGTGAGCTTCTCTTTCATTTTATTATAAAATCAACTGAAGAATGATACAATGAAAACTGCCAAACATAATGCATTATCCTGTAAGTATCTTAGCCAGCAAAAGAAGCACATGAAGAGATCACAGAGAGAGACTTAGCACTACTTTTAATGTATTAATCTCAATCAATGCTGGAAACTTTAGTTAAGATTGATCAAAAGAAAAGAATGTTATTGAATATTGAGGGTCACCTGAGATAAGAAAACCAGTATTATCAGTGCTGGAAGTCCAGTTTCAATACATTGTGCCACCTACAGACAACATGAAAAGACATAAGGTCATAAGAGACATGAATTCTTATGGAAGAAAATGCGCAATATATAGTACTTCAAATAAAATGCCATCATCAAATATTCACATTCTGTTTCCGTGTCTTGTGGCATAGGAATCTTTGTTAATGCTCCCATAACTTAGAAGAAGAACTGATCCAATGGTTCTTCTTGATCAAACGTATCAAAAAAAACTCGATGAAATTTCATTTGGAAGTTTATTCTATTGAACCCTCACAACACCTTACAACCCTTTAGGCAATTAAGAACCAAAATTTGAACAAAATACATAGACAGCAGAAGAAATATGAGCTTTGTCAGTCCCTATTGGAACTAAAAACAAATTGCTCATTTCTCACTACAGAGCAAGGAATATTTCAACCAAAATATGAGGTCTGTCAATCACAATGGTAGTGAAAAAAAAAAAAACTCTTTTCTTTTCTGAACATGAAACAAGGCAGCTTTTACAAGAGACAGCACTCAACAAGATCAATTCTCTACCACACAACCAACTGTTTCAATTCAAAATAAAGATAATTGAAACTGCAGCTTAGTCAACAATTATTTGCCAACCTATTATGAAGGGTTAAATTTTCCTACCTTTGGGAAACCTCGTTCATAAAGCCCAAGTCCTGTGAGAATCACAAGAGGAACAGCAGCAAGAGGGCTAAGAAACCTACATCACAGGCCATAAAAAATAAAGATCTTCAAAAATAAATAAATAGAGGATAGACAATGAACTGAGCTTCAGTAATACATGAAAAAAATATCCTACCTCGCGAAAATTCTCCAAAAACCAAAAAAACCAATGATGCATGTGAAAAAGGATGAAATAATCAAGGCTCCTTGAGTATATCTCATAGTTGCTTCAAACCTCTGTAATATCAGTGGGAAAACTATATTAAGATCATAATCAAACAAATTCACTAAATAATAGTGTTGAGCTCCATTTGCTTCTATAAGGAGGAAGTTAACAAACAAATGAAGACGAAAACATGGATATTTCTGAAAATTGCTTCAAGAACTAAATTTGAACAAAGGGAGCGACAAAGTTTAACCTTATAGGGATCAATTATGTTATTGTATCTTCCGGAAAGGGCTACGGAGATGGTAGGGATGATGAAAGCATAAGAACTCCCTATCACCACTGGCAGGCGCGTCCCAAACAAAGTCTGCAACAGCGTGTTGATCCCCGCAACAAAGAGGGTAGTGTTTATCACCTCAGCCTTCTGAACCTAATTTCACAAATCCACCAAAATTTTAGTCAATAAACCACAGAAGTGTATAACAAATTGGGAAAAAGCGTTGAATCTCAATCATCAATTAAGTTTCTTACATCGCCACCTCCCATTAAAGGCACGACTAAGGTTGGGATGATGACAGTAGTCCCAAGCATCACCAGATAGTGCTGAAACCCTAGAATAATCGCTTCAGCTGCATTTAACAGAAGATTCCTTAGCAAGTATTCATTATGAACAACACTTAATAATCTGTAAATTGTGATGGATTTGAAGAATTAGCAACTGAAATCACTCG